TATTCTTTTAAGTAATTTGTTTAAGTTTATTCAGATATTTTTGTATGACATTTAGCTTTTATGTTGAGTCATGCATATTTCATAGTCTTTATTCAACCATTTCCACCCAAAATTAAAGCTATGTATTAATTTTTCACACACAGACAGCAATTAAGCTGTTAATTCACATCTTGAAACGGAAATTTCATAAAAGGTCAATGTTTGTAGCTATTAATTTAAAMCACTAGCTTTAATCTGATAATTTTCTATACGCAAAACGCTTAAGTCGTGCRCCGACTTACGTAAGTAGGTTTCCGTTTAACTTCCTACGCATGACGGCACAGTCTTCTCGGCGGTGCGTCACGCGTACTGACCCCAAGGTTCTGCTACAAGGCGTAGAATAAAAAAACAAGTTTTTTTTTCAAAGTTTGCCTTACAAAACAGAATAACTGTACGTTTGAGTCAGTTTTAACTTCAAAAAACGTTCAAAAATTRTATTACGTGATGTGGCGTTGCGTTTAATATTCATAGCGTTTTACGTTTGAGTTAACGTGAGTGGGCTATTACCTCTACGTGAATTGTCGGAATGACAAAAAGAATCACGCCAAAATTGACCAAAATTTTTAATTTTTCGTCAGAGAATAAGTATCGTTTGACAAAGACAAATATAATCCAGATCAATTTTTTAAAAATCAAAAGCTATAAAATCGCACTTTATATAAAAAATACCATACATAAAAAGACTTTAAAACCACAAAGGCATAACCAATGTTAAAGTACGTGCATTAATGATGTTTTTAATAAATGAAGCGAGTAAAGTTTCGTAAATGCATTGAAAATATGAAGTGAAGTAAAAAATCCATTGTCCTTTTACGGCATAAGTAGTRGTGGTAAAGCTATCTGAAATCATTGAAGACKCWGCTCTCTGAAKGMAAACATCTCAAGACCACTAAACAKTAAGGTAACTACAAACACCTTTCTYGATTGCTACCTTGTACATTGAAAATAATAGTAATAAGAATTAGTAGCAATATCCTGTATGTAATCAAGTGTATGGAGTAAATTATTTGATATTTTGTCTTTATTTGGTAGTGTAATTACAATATAATACAAAATTGATTTAGCACTAAGAGAGTGAGTGGTGACATGAGTCGATGAGAGCCGCACCCATATACTTATTCACTTTGCATTTTCACTAAATTGAGACTGTCAAGTAGTGATCATGATGCAGCACTGTAGATTTAACACAAGAGCTGATAATTTAGTTATCTTCAGATGATTAATTTAATCATTTTGGATTTAAAGTGATGAAATCCATGCTGTACATGAGAGTTTATTAATTCATTTTGAATAAAGTTTAGCGTTCATATGTTTAAAAGAAAATGACTTTCGACGTTTTAAACTGACGAAATCAGTTTAATCTGTTATTATTATACAAGCTTCAGTAAGTATTTTATTTATGATTAAAACTCTTGGAATTACTTAACTGAATAAAAGAGAGACCTCAGAGATATAAAAAAGGAGATCAAAAG